AGTCGGCGATGTCGGCGGCGGATCAAGGAAGAGGGGGCAGCGTTGAGAGGGACATCGAGCAGGTTTTTCTTACTTTACTCTTTTGACTTGGGGAGAGGTTAGGTTTTGAAATGGTATTGATTTAAGATGGGATGCAGAGAGTTTTGGGGGTAGGAATGCTGAGTTCTAGGTTTTGATTTGATTGAGAGTAAGGTTTTGCATATGGTTTTAGGGTTTGATTTGGTTGTGTACGGTGGAAAATAAGAAGGATTGAATGGATAATAGATGTGGGAAATGTACCTCTTGGGGGTGTTAGTGAAGGAAATTTTTGGGTTCTAGGCAATATTAGGATGCTAAGTGCTTGAAACAGCAGTTAGTATGACAAATTGACAACAGTGTTGCGCTCGAAGAAAATTGTAATTGAATCATGATGTCAAGAAAGTTGGAAGGTTTCAGACTCATTTTAGACGTGGTAAACAGAATAAATAAATAAATAAATAAAGGATACGCTTCATAAAAAAATAAATAAATAATGGTACCCTGTAGTCAACCACCCAGATGGTGCATTGGAGTAATAAAGGTAGGAACTAGTTACTTGAGTGAGTCATAGTAGTCGTTGTTGGTGAATTGTGCTTGCGGAGGGGAGATAGAAGAGGTGCCTGAAAATATGAGGAATAGAAGAGCATTGGAAACATGTGTAGGCGTCAAAAAATGCTGAAAGATATCCAAACATAGGGAAATCCACTCAAAACTGACAGATATGAACTGTCTCGCCAGCGAGACAGACTTTGCTGTCTCGCCAGCGAGACAGCTTTGAGATGGTCAGAAACCACCTTGAACAACTGCCCCACACACGTCCATTAACTGTTTAAGAACGTGGGAAGCGTCGTGGGCGAGAATCACGTTCATAACTGCCAAAATAACGTAGTTTGAAACGTGGGAAGGCAGTTAAGAAGAAAACTGCCTGCGGTTACTGTTTCCGAGACAATGTTTACTGTCTCGCGGGTCGAGACAGTGTTTACTGTCTCGCGGGCCGAGACAGTAAACACTGGCTCTCGCCCGCCGAGACAGCAAAATTTGCTTGTCTCGCGAACCTGTTTTCTGCCAACTGTTCCTAGAGGTCTATATATACCCCCGAATGTCATTTTTCACAGGAGGGGCTGCAGCAGAGAAAAGGCTGGATCGAGCATTTGTTAGAGCATTCCAGAGCAGAGAGAGCAGAGATCTAAGTTCTTGGAGCAAACCCCTTGACATTCAGGCTTTGACTTGATTTCAAGAAGAACGACTATCTTACTTCAGATAGATATCGTTTCAATTTCTAACTTCGATAACGAAGGAAGAATCAGTAACCCCTCTTCACGATTTGTGATTCGGGTGGTCCACGAGCTAAGGCCGCTCCCGACACAGGCAAAGAACCACGAAAGCAGTGATCAAACAACGATGCCTGCGTTTATTTTCTCAAGAGTTGTAGTTTTCTTTTTTGTTGTGTAGAAAAGGTCTTATAAAAAGACTATTCCTTTGAATTTGTTGTAATCGACTGAAGATATAATGAATTCCATGACAAAACCAACTTTTGACTCAAACAAGCTGGCGACCACAGTGGGAGCCAACGGTCTCGCTGCCGAGACCGTCGTGTCGCAGCCGATCAAGATTCCAGTTGAATCCATGGTCGAATACGAATTCGACCAAACCAAGTTTGAGGAATATCTCTCATCATCCTCTTCAAGATCTTCATTATCTCGCAAGTACAAGAGGATCTCACGATTGAGGAGGACTTACATGCCAAAGAAGGCACAAAATGAAGACTCTCGCTTGATTGTTGCTGAGAATTTCATTCGCAACACCAATGAAGACTCTCGCTTGATTGTTGCTGAGAATTTCATTCGCAACACCTCTGCTCACAATGGCTCTTATATAGTTAAAGAGTCATCAAATCAAAGCCAATGGCTCTTATATAGTTAAAGAGTCATCAAATCAAAGTCCGCCGGCATTGACGAAAAGAGCTCGCCAAAGACAACGCCAACGCTGCGCTCGCCAAATGGCTAAGGCCTTGGAACAAACCGACGGGGTTCGTTACCACACGGACCTAGAGTCGAGGAGACATCGAGTGGTTCAGTTGTCTCAACAACCAATCACTCGTATCTCTGCTAAAACAACGACGGAGGAATGGACTATTGTCAAAAAGACTCGTTCAACCCTTAAAGAACGTATACAAAAACGTCGTGCAAAAGCTGCTCATGCCCATGCTCTCTCACAACAAAGACGAGAAAGGAAAAAGGAGACGATGGCCAAAGAACCATCGAAACTCTGCCAAGTTTGGATTCCAGAGACTGGAGTTGTGCAAAATCAGTATTCGGAGCCCGTTAAGACCCCATACCCGCAAATGGGTGGTTTTAGACGTGCGACTCCCAACAGAACCTTGGATCGCTCAAAGACAAAAATAAATTGTCCTGAGAATACCAACAAGGTTTTATACCCCCAGAAGAAGACGCATTCACCAAATGATATCGTCATACCTGGGAGATCATGCCAACAGACGATACGATTTTTTGGCAATCATACCGATGAATCGTATTATCAAGTTGGGGTTGTGAATAATTTTCAAAAGAGAGTTATTCGAGAGATAAACTCTCGTTGTTCCTGTGCGCGACTCGTTAAAACAGCATTATCAGAATGTGACTGTTTCAAACGAGAAGTCATCCCACGAAAAGTCTCTGTATTATCGAAGCCTAAGCCGAGACGTTTCCGCAAAAGAAAATCAACTGCCCAAGATGATGAATTCCCTGAAGTCACCATCAACGTGACTGATAAAAGAAAATCTAAGCGGCATTCAAGTGACTCAAATCCCGACTTTTCCCCGAGAGGAAAAGTCAATCCAAGAATTGCTCAAAGGATATCTCGACTCCAATTAGGAGCCATCAGACGCAGAGATTACAAAAGAATGCAAGAAGGAATGTCCTCGGAGGATGAATTTTCGGACACTTGTTCTGCAATTGCTTCTGATGATACAATGTCTAGCACAGGACAAACCAGAGAAGTACTCACGATCACCTCTGATCAATTTGCTCAAATACTTCAAGAAGCTCTGGCGAAGCTACGTGAAGAAATTAGAGCTGAAGTGAAGACAGAGATGAAGTTAGCTATTCAACAAATGAGAGAATTGCTAACTCAACAATCTCAACCTCCTGAGTCCAGTCGACGAGCTGAATCCAACCGCCACACTCAGAATGGTGTAGATGACATTGATCCAGAAGTGGATGAAGTCATTATGGCTAAAACACCTTCCCACACTCAGAATGGTGTAGATGACATTGATCCAGAAGTGGATGAAGTCATTATGGCTAAAACACCTTCCAATGACAATAACATTGGGGGTGGTTCAACAGATCCTCCCAATAACAACATTGGGGGTGGTTCAATTGCACCACTTAATAATACTAGGGGTGGTCCAATTATCTTTACTCGACATCATTCAGAAAGAAATGAAGACGATGACGGGAAGATGCAAAAACTTGAAGACAAAATCAATGCTTTGATGACGGCTCAAGAATTTAAGAAGACGGGTATTCCATGTCCCTATCCGAGGGAATGGGATTCAATATCATACCCGACCAAATTCAATCTGATTAACTTCACACCGTTTGAGGGGAAGAGCTCGCCGATTCAGCACTTGATTTATTTCAAGTCTCATTTGGGCATGATCTCTGGAAACGAGGCTTTAATGGTCCGGTCATTCGTTGGCACCCTTCGCGGACCTGCCTTCGATTGGTACCGACGGCTCAAGCCAGGGAGCGTCAATTGCTGGGAGGACATGGAAAGTTTGTTCCTCAGCAACTTCTTCGATGATGACACCGAAGTGTCAATCGGAACCTTTTTGGATGAGAAGCAAAAAGACGGAGAGTCAGTCGACGATTTTGTCAAGCGCTTCCGTGGCAAAGCAATGAATTGCAAAGATCCTATTACAGAGGAGTTCATCCTGCAAACATGCCACAATAATCTCTCTATCGATGTCCTGGAAGCTCTGGGGGTCGTACCATCCAAAACTTGGAAAGATTTGAAAATGCGCGGTGAACAAGCTGAACACTTTCTTAAAAGAAAGAAAGCTGAGAGAAGCCAACCGACGACATCTGCAATCACTGGGAACGTGACTCCCGATCCGAGGTTTCAAAAGGAATATTCTTTCGAAGATGATAAAGCTCCAGCCATATTGGAATACCTCCTCGCTAATGACAAAATCGAGCTACCACCTATTAAAGATCAGGATGGAGCTAAGAGGATTACGGATCCAAACTACTGTGCATACCACAGAAGGGTTCTTCATCCCACCGAGATTTGCTTCGGACTCAAAAACAAGATCCAAGCCCTAATAGACTCCGGCGTCATAACGACGAAAGAAATCGATCCCCACACTCCAAAGAGTATATGAGTATAAACTGCTTCTCGATTATCCAACTGAGTACAATGTTAAACCTGGTTTCGCAAAGGAAGCTGGGGGTGGAAGTTCCTGGAGAATCTTATATTCTTAAGGATAACCCGAACATGCAACTGAGGATAACGTACTCCTCGTTACATCCAATTTTACAAAGAAAGCTGGGGGTGGATAATTCATGTAACGGAAAGTTCCCGGAAGAATGTTAAATGTAATATTCTTAGGGATAACCCCGGTCATTATGAACAAAGTGATAAACACTAAACTCCTCCTATGACTTCCGAATACTCTTTTGCTGAGATGAGATTCGATCACCTCTTTAGATCAATCTTCCCTCACAAAATTCCCACTCGATCAAACCTTTAAACAGTTAGGATCGTCTCAGAACCCTCCTTTGGTCAAACCTTTAAACAGTTAGGACCAAAGCCAAAATTCCCTCTCGATTCGTTCCATGAACGAGAGGTCCACAAATTGAACGATCAAACCTTTAAACAGTTAGGATCGTCTCAAATTCCCATCTTGGTCAAACCTTTAAACAGTTAGGACCAAAGCCAAAATCCCCTCTCGATTCGTTCCATGAACGAGAGGTCCACAAATTGAACGATCAAACCTTTAAACAGTTAGGATCGTCTCAAATTCCCATCTGGTCAAACCTTTAAACAGTTAGGACCAAAGCCAAAATCCCCTCTCGATTCGTTCCATGAACGAGAGGTCCACAAATTGAACGATCAAACCTTTAAACAGTTAGGATCGTCTCAGAACTCCCACTTGGTCAAACCTTATTACAGTTAGGACCAAAACCAAAACCCCCTTTCGATTCCTTCCATGAACGAGAGGTCCATTTTCAGTTGAATAATCAAACCTTATGACAGTTAGGATTATTCAAACCCGTCCAGATTCTCTAAGTGGAGATCCCACTTCGAGTTTCCTTTGTACCAGGAGATAGAATATAAAATTCTTCCTCTCCGATTCCGGGTTCATCTCTACCAACAAAAAAAGAGACCAGGAGATAGAATATAACATTCTTCCTCTCCGATTCTGGGTTCATCTCTACCAACAAACAAGAGACCAGGAGATAGAATATAAAATTCTTCCTCTCCGATTCTGGGTTCATCTCTACCAACAAACAAGAGATCAGGAGATAGAATATAAAATTCTTCCTCTCCATCATCGGGTTCATCTCTACCAACAAAAAAGAGACCATAATACTCCAATAGGTACACGAGTCTAAACCGTTTTCCTACCCTCAACAGGCAGTTTCTGGAGAATATTACTCAGAATATTCTTAAGAATAACCTGAATACTCCAATAGGTACACGAGTCTAAACTGTTTTCCTACCCTCAACAGGCAGTTTCTGGAGAATATTACTCAGAATATTCTTAAGAATAACCTGAATACTCCAATAGGTACACGAATCTAAACTGTTTTCCTACCCTCAATAGGAAGTTCCTGGAGAATATTAATCTGAATATTCTCAATGATAACCTGAGGAATTCTCAATGGATATACCAACTCGGTGGTAAAAGTTGAATCTACAAGAGCAAATGCCAACTTCAATTCAAGATCTTGACAACGGTCAAGCAATAAACGCGACACCGGAAAATTTTTTGTCTATTCTACAAAGCACTGGATAGACCAAATGATGAAGAGGTCAAGATTTGAAGCCATGAACGGGTCCTTCCGCATGATCTACTCAATCAAGCTTTGAAGGATTTGCAGATAAAATCTGTCTTATCCAAAGTATCCCAGACTCTTCTATAAAAGAATGAGTTTGGAATACTTTGGAGGGGGTATCTGTAGGCGTCAAAAAATGCTGAAAGATATCCAAACATAGGGAAAACCACTCAAAACTGACAGATATGAACTGTCTCGCCAGCGAGACAGACTTTGCTGTCTCGCCAGCGAGACAGTGTTTGCTGTCTCGCCAGCGAGACAGCTTTGAGATGGTCAGAAACCACCTTGAACAACTGCCCCACACACGTCCATTAACTGTTCAAGAACGTGGGAAGCGTCGTGGGCGAGAATCACGCGGATAACTGCCAAAAGATCCAAACAACGATCCTGCGTTTATTTTCTCAAGAGTTGTAGTTTTCTTTTTGTTGTGTAAAAGAGTCTTATAAAAAGGCTGTTTTCTTTGAGTTTTATTGTAATCGACTGAAGAGACAATGAATTCGACAACAAATTCAACTTTTGCTGAAAACAACATGATTTTACGTCTTTCGAGAGCAAATGGACTTTACGCCTCGTTTGGTACGCGGGAATGAGGAGGAATGGAATGCAATTCATACTTCCCATTCCCTCATACCAAACACACCTATATTTTAGATGTTGGAATGACCATTCCCTAGGAATGATCATTCCCACTATTTGTGGGAATGAGCATTCCAAGTGAGAAGATAAGGAATGGTCATTCCCATTCAAGTGAGAATCAAAAACTAGTTAGATATTTTTCAATTATATCCATATTAATAATAAAGAATGTTTGGGTGAGGCGCTATGCAAGTGGGCAATTTTAGATTGACAATTTAGGCTAGTATATCATAATGCTATTTCGAAACTTATTATTTTAGTTGATATTGTTTTATGGATTTTTGCTATTATGAATTGAGTGATTTTGATACTTTATCAAATAAGTTAATTTATATATCTAGAACTGTGGATTGTGGATATCATTCTTTTTTTTGGACCTATGAAAGATATGATAATCTTTTTTTTATTTTTCTTTAATTTTTAAGACTAAGAAATAGCGAGTATTGTTTAAAAAATATAAACGAAACATACACCTGATGGATAACACGAGCATTAGTATAACACATACCTAGATTAATATAACATATGCGTATATAAAATTATTTAGTTATTATCATTAATGTTTATTTTTTATCTTATTAAAAATCTATGTTGTTGTAAGGGCATTATTAGAAAATGAGATTTCATTCTCACTTATGTACTAGTGATACCAAACATGGGAATGGGAATGAGATTTCCATTCTAGCTTCATTCTACGAACGCACCCAAACAAGAGAATGAGAATGACCATTCCATTCCCACATGCAATCCATTCCATTCCTTCTTCCATTCCATTCCCAAGTCTATCCATTCCCGCGTACCAAACGAGGCGTTAGTGAGAGCAAATAAAATAAAATAAAAAAATAAATAAAATTATATTCTCTGAAGATATACCGTACTTGTCCTTGTAAGTTATAGGGCTAGAAAGTTCAATTTAGAAAAAAAAGGGTAGGATCATACTATCTAGCTCATTTTCCTCCAAGCCCAAGTCAGTTTGCTGTGATTAGGGTATTGAGTTAAGATGCTTCTTGGACCATTTCTAAAATTTATGCTTTTCTATATTGCCAATTAATCAATTTCCTCTCAATCTAGGAGAATTCCAGGGCGTCATCACTTCTTTTTTGTTACCTTGAGCGCAGTTACCAATTTAGTAGTTTGGCTTTATGTTCACTGACTTCGTAATTGGTTGCACTTCAAGTTCCTCTTGATAATTGATTCCTTGGATAAAAACATTTTGGAGAACTGACATCTGTATTACGGCCATTGTAAAATGCCATGTAAATGTTCAAACACTCTTCTAGATATGGAACTGTGCTCCATTAGCTGACCCCATTTCAAGGAAAAAGAATTAGGTAATGACGACGAGCTGCAGTGCATTGCAAACCTAATGTACTTCCCGTTTCCCTTTCCAGTGTTAAATTTCTCTTATATTATTTTTCCATTTATTTGTGGTTTCTTTCTTGACATTGTTACTGCACTGCAGATATGATTTTCTTTTGTTATCGATATGTTATTGTTGTGTGGCTGCAGCTTCTATGGTGTGGATCCAACTGTTATGATAGAAAGATCCTTTGAAGTGTTCATAAAAATGTATTTCTATCTTACAGGCTATAATTGCTCTTAAGAAAGGAGCTCATCTCCTCAAGTACGGACGCAGAGGGAAGCCCAAGTTTTGTCCCTTTAGGCTGTCCAATGTAAGCTTAACTAAATACCTGTTCAAATTGTTTTATCAGCAATGATATATGTAGCTCATTTACATTACATCTCTCAGATACTTTAGTATATCAAATCTGCCATTTGTTGCCCCAAATGCTAGCATGTTCAAACGTTGCAATACAGGACATTTTTTTACTTCATTTCATCAATTAGTTTAGGACTCATTTACTGTTTCCTTTTTTTTAATATCTCTATTTAATAGCTTCTGCTAAGTTCTTATTTCTAGTCTTATGATATATATGGGTAATGCTTATATGTAGAGGTCCAAGTGTTTATATGACATCCTCAGGATATCAATACATTTTATATATTTACTTATTTATTTATTTCTGATTAAGTGTTAGGTAGTTTCTTATGTCATCTTCTTCTGTTTTTTGCATTTCAGGATGAGTCTATACTAATTTGGTTTTCTGGCAAAGAGGAAAAACACCTCAAATTGAGTCATGTGTCCAGGATCATGCCTGGGCAACGCACTGTAAGTTTTCAAATTTAGACATCCTGAGATTTTTTATAATTATCCACTTTTAAATACATATAAATATTAAAGAAAGGGGGGGTGGGGTATTAACCATATGGGTATGCAATGAATATATGTTTTTAACTGCAAGGGAGAACTACCACAAATGCATTGACCATCTGAGTCCTTTGTGGCAATGATAAATACTGTTCCTGTTATTAATAAGTTTCTGCCTGTTTCAGCCTAGATTTTTAATTTTACAAGAAGTTTTTTCCGCCTGATGTGATGTTTTTCTGTTTACTCCAGATCCTCACGATTCTGTTCAGTTATATCTAGAGATTTATGTAGAGGTTCTTTTGATATTTATATATTTCTCGCTAAATAGTGCTGAAGCTTCTGGATATAACCTTCAAATAATCCATTCCTGCATTCATTTCAGTGTTCGGCATCTTATCCTGCAAGTATGCATTGATTATCCCTTTTCTTCCCAAATTTTCTGTTATGTAATAGGAGGTGATACTGATGCTAATGCTTACCATGACATGCTACTCATATTTGTGAATATTTTTGTTGTTCCACATCTAGTAGATTTATGAGATAAATTTGTTAGCTTATTTGATTTTTGAAATATATTTTTGCTATATACATTAAATTTAACTTATTTTAGTGCTTATTCTACTAACAGTAGATGATTAATGTGAACATAATTTTTTCTTTAGGCAATTTTTCAGAGGTATCCGCGGCCTGAGAAGGAGTGCCAGTCGTTTTCACTTATATACGGCGATAGATCACTAGACCTTGTAAGTGTTGCATTGGTCATGCATTCTTGTTGTCATTTTATTATGCTTTTGCTAATCTGGGGACTGTGTTAACATGTTGGTTGATCTTAAGTCCTTTCAACCTAGTTCTTTGTGCGCAAGTTTTGAAGATCGAAATCTTTTGATCTTATGTATTCTCATTATCATCTATGCCAGATATGTAAGGATAAAGATGAGGCTGAAGTCTGGTTTGCTGGTTTAAAAACATTGATATCTCGCAATCATCAACGGAAATGGAGAACAGGATCAAGAAGTGATGGGATATCATCGGGAGCAAATAGTCCAAGAACATATACCAGAAGAAGTTCACCTATAAGCTCGCCACTTAGTAGCAGCGAGAGCGTGCAGAAGGTACCCTTAACAATCTACTAGCTTTCTTTATTTTCTTTTCCAAATAAACACATCTCTTTATATATAACTGCATATGGAGATCCTTAGACTTTAATCCAAATCCAATTCAGGATGGAAGGGATCCTCTTCAGTTTAGAAGTCCATTTGGGAGCCCCCCAAAGAATGGTCTGGATAATGTCTTATCTGATGTACTGCATGCATTACCGCCAAAAGGTTTCTTTTTACCTCCGAAAGGTTTTTTACCTTCAGACTCTGCAATTGGCTCAGTCCATTCATTGTCATATACTTACTCAGACAGTAAGCATGGGAACATGAAAGGCACCACAACGGATGCATTTAGAGTAAGTTTATCAAGTGCTGTAAGTTCATCAAGTCAAGGTTCTGGCCATGATGATGGTGATGCCCTAGGTGATGTTTTTATATGGGGAGAAGGAACTGGAGACGGAATTCTAGGTGGTGGGGGCAACGGAGCTCGAAGCTCTTCTTCTACTAAGTTAGATTCTCTCATAACAAAAGCTTTAGAATCTGCTGTTATACTTGATGTTCAGAATATTTCTTGTGGTAAAAGACATGCCTGTTTAGTTACTAAACAGGGAGAGATCTATTCTTGGGGTGAGGAATTAGGAGGTAGGCTTGGGCACGGTGTAGATTCTGATGTCTCACAACCGAAACTCATTGATTCTCTAGCCAATATGAATATTGAACTTGTAGCATGCGGAGAGTACCATAGCTGTGCTGTTACACTGTCTGGAGACCTCTACACATGGGGTGATGGTACCTTTGGGCGCCTTGGGCATGGAAATGAAGTAAGTCACTGGATGCCAAAAAGAGTGAATGGACCTTTGGAGGGAATTCATGTTTCATCAGTTTCCTGTGGACCTTGGCATACTGCAGTTGTAACTTCATCTGGGCAGTTGTTTACTTTTGGAGATGGAACTTTTGGTGTTCTTGGTCATGGAGATCGTAGAAGTATCTCAATACCCAGGGAAGTAGAATCACTGAAGGGGCTAAAAACAGTGCGGGCAGCATGTGGTGTTTGGCATACAGCTGCAGTTGTAGAAATTATGACTGGAAATTCTAATTGCAGTAACTGTCCTTCAGGGAAACTCTTTACATGGGGGGATGGAGATAAGGGTCGCCTTGGGCATGGTGATAAGGAACCAAAACTTGTGCCTACTTGTGTTGCTGCCTTAGTTGAGCCAAACTTTTGCCAGGTTGCATGTGGGCATACCATGACGGTTGCTCTTGCTAGTTCAGGCCATGTTTACACAATGGGCAGTAGTGTATATGGCCAACTTGGAAATCCACATGCAGATGGGAAGCTCCCTGCCCGTGTTGAAGGAAAACTCCTTAAAAATTTTGTTGAAGAGATATCATGTGGTGCTTATCATGTTGCAGTTTTGACTTCAAGAACTGAAGTATATACATGGGGTAAAGGAGCAAACGGTCGTTTGGGTCATGGGGACACGAATGATAGAAGTTCCCCATCTTTGGTTGATGCCTTGAAAGACAAACAAGTCAGAAGCATAGTTTGCGGTGCTAATTTTACCGCAGCAATTTGTATTCATAAGTGGGTATCTGGTGCGGACCAGTCTATCTGCTCAGGCTGCCGTCAGCCATTTAATTTTAAGAGGAAACGTCATAATTGCTACAATTGTGCACTTGTTTATTGTAATTCTTGCAGCAGTAAGAAGTCTCTCAAGGCTTCCATGGCACCAAACCCAAACAAACCATATCGAGTTTGTGATGGATGCTTTAACAAGCTAGGGAAGGCCTTTGAAACCGACTCCTCATCTCATTCTTCACTTAATAGAAAAGGAAGCATCATCCAGGGTTTTAATGAAATGATTGAGAAGGAGGACAAATTGGATTCAAGATCTCACGTTCCAGTGTCTAGCTTGTCATCAAAGGAGTCATTTAAGCATATTGATGGAAGATCAAAGAAAAGCAAGAAGTTTGAATTCAATAGCAGCCGTGTATCTCCTATCCCAAATGGAACGACAAATTGGGGTGCCTTGAACATTTCAAAATCTTTAAATCCAGTATTTGGATCATCAAAAAAATTCTTCTCAGCTTCTGTTCCTGGATCAAGAATTGTTTCTCGTGCAACATCACCCACATCAAGAAGAACCAGCCCCCTACGATCAACAACACCAACACCAACTCTTGGTGGACTTACTTCTCCAAAGTTTGCTTTAGACAATGCAAATAAGTCAAATGAGGATCTGAGCCAAGAAGTTCTTCGGTTGAAGGCACAGGTAGATAATAAATTTGCATCCCCACCATTTTATGTTGTAAATTACTTTGTTTATCTACCTATTTCTATCCTTTTATATTGAGAAAGCATGTTATTGATTGCTAATCATAAATTTTTTCTGTATCCATGTTGCTTGTGAAGAGTAGGTAGTGACAAGATGTATTTTGCTCAAAACTTTATAGTCTTCTCTGGTTTAGGTTTCTGACATGGATGTAAATGAATGATTTTGTCTTTTTTTCTTCTTCCGTAGAAAATAACTGGCTTTAGCTACGGAGCGCAATTCATAAGAAGAAACCTTTGCCAGTCCAATGGAAAGCTGATTTGAGATAAATCTTTGGCAGGGGGTTTGGGTGCGGGTCTTTCTACGGCACAGAGGAATGGGAAAGAGAGCATAGAGATATAAAGGAAAGAGAGCATAGAAGAAGACATAAATAAAGGAATAGGATTAGAGTTTTGGTTGTGGAAACATAAAATGTTCTGGTACCAGGCTTCATTGAGAACGTCACTTATCCAGACTCCAGAGGGGGGAAGTCATGTTTTATTTATGGGAAAACAAAATATGATTTATTTACATAATCTTCTAATCCGAAACTAAACAAAGTTCTCTAATTAACTATGACATATCATGTTTGCATTTCTAAATATGCTACAAGTCACAAAATTTATCTAATAGATACGCAGGTATAATCTCTACATAAGAAACATTACCCTTTTTATGTTCTGCTAATAACAAGTCCCAAGACTACAGCTTTTCTTACATCAAAGTAATACAAAGTTGGATTTCCTAACTGTCACTATTATTACCTGTAGGTAGAAAATCTTACTCGTAAGACCCAACTTCAAGATTTTGAGTTGGAAAGGACAACCAAACAGCTGAAAGAGGCAATTGCTGTTGCAGGAGAAGAAACTGCGAAGTGCAAAGCTGCAAAAGAAGTTATTAAATCACTTACATCCCAGGTAAGAATTTGCATTGTTAATTTATTACTTTCTTCTGCTACCGCATTGAATTTTTAAATGGCAATGGTTTAGAAACCTGATACTCTAATTCCTTCTCTTGGATTTCTATGTCCAACTCTAGGCTTAATGGCTTATTATGTTGTAAATAATATCTAGGAGTTAAAGCTAAAAGAACACTTGTATAAAGAGTGATTCTTAGCTTTTTTCCCCTGATAGCAACCAAAGTTTCAAGTAGTTTCTCAGATCGTTCTTGAAGCCAAGGCTGTTGAATTTGTTGTTGTCTCAGTTGAATGTAAATAGTAATATCGCTTGTAAATTAGGGATTACCACCTGAACACCAGGCTACACCCATTGACTTAACCAGAAATGGCAATTTTCATTTATCAGCTGTCACTTTTGCCTTCCCAAAATGTGTATATACTCTTGCTTCTTTGGCTATGTTCATGGGCATTGTGTAATAGCTTTATGTAAACTCAAGACAGCAATGAAATCTTCAATTGATTCTCTAATTCAATGCCCATCATCTCGTCATACTCTCAGCCTTGATAGTTCTTTAAGTTTCTTATAACTTTGAATGACTTATTTTACTATTTTTTAGTTCGAGGTTAAGTCCTTCAATGTGAGTACAGACTACCTACAAATTCTTACATCATATATGCAGGTCTACTTGAGGCTTTCCTTGGGTAGCTGGCTATTTTTACCCAGTAATTTTTGTTTGGGTCAATCCTAAAGAATCCAGTTGATTTCCAATAGCATAAAACCCTTGACAACACTCCTTGGGTATTAAGGGAAAACTTTACTTGGATAATTATTTAATTGAATGGGGATTAAGTTTTAATAGAGGGGATGAAGGGAGAAGGAAATAAGTTACTGGCTGTTAAAGACCCCATAGAAAAGGAATATGGGGCTTTGATTTTGTTATTTTCTTTCTATTTGAATGCAACCTATTCATAAGCTTCTTTGCCTTGCATTGTATAACAAGTGTGCCAACATGCCACTTCCCTTGGGAATTGACATTTCCCCGTGCTTAACTTGAAAACTAGTCATTTAGGCTGCTTCTGAGCTGAGATCTAGATACCACTACAAAAGTTTATCCATAATCATCCTAGTGCCACCCAAAATTTTGTTCGTGTGTATGCATTTTTAGGTTAGACCCTTACTATTTTTAGCACCTGTTTTTTTAAGCTATACGTTTCCCTAGCCAACTCTAGTCTTCATATATTATCAACTTATGATTGTCTTTTTCTCTATTCTTGTGCTGATGCTTTGTTGTTAAACTCTTACATGATAATCAATACTTAGCATACGTATTTACTCAAGGATATATGTCAAACCTGATCCTTTACTGGAGTATTAATGAGCGCTAATATATTTGTTCCATTGTTGGATTTGTATGAGAAATCATGCTGGATAGCAAATATGTATATGCATAATCTAATTCTTACCAGGGACTGTAAGTTGTGAAAGATGTGAATCCACTTTTCTATGTTTGAGTTTCTGTGTTCATCTCTAGCATGTCACCATCAACAATAATCTGGTTAAAATCAACTAGATTCTGTTTCAGCGAACTTACAATTAATGTCAACTCAATAGAGAATGGAACCGAAACCAACAATCTCAACACTCCTTTGATTAATATTGAGGATAAAAAGTAGACAATTTAAGTGAGAAAATTGATAGCGCGGGAGCATCATTATTTTCAGTTAGAAAAACGTCTTTCTCACAGTGATTGGAAGAGTTGGTCCCTTCTTTTAATCTTTGCTGATTTAGTCTTATTTTTTAAATCTATTTACTGATTTCCAAATAATTAGTTATGCTAGAATGAATTTTCCCCTTGCCAAGTTCGAATTATGTCATCAGGATGTAGACAATCTTCCTGGTAGAATTGGTATATATATTTCTTTAGATGCTGTTATGAAATACAAACACTTCGTGACATTATCATATTTCCTGAAAACTTGTGAAACCTGTTAATCCGACCAATAACCACATGAGTTTATAATTATGTATACATCAGCTTCTTTTGGTGATCTTTGTGTAGCATGTTTTCTCAATCCTTAAATCAACAATATAACTTAAAACTAGTGTTTTTTATTGAACTCCCTCTGTTTATTGCTTAATAATTTAAAGTCTGAAACCCCTTATTTTCTGTTTGACATAGTTGAAGGACATGGCTGAAAGGCTACCTGTTGCAGCAGCAAGAAATGGTGACAAACTCCCTTCTTTGCCTAGCTCAGCTTCAAGTGATTTCTCTACCAAAGCTATTGACCAAACGAGTAATTTGATGACCTCCCATGATCCGGATTCGAAAGATGATGCCAGTGGAATTGTAGCAAATGCACCTAGTTCAAATAATCACCAACGAAATAGAGTGGGTGCTCATTCTGAAGTGTTAAGAAATGGAAGCAAATCACCAGATGCAGAGCTGAATCATCAGTCTGAATGGGTCGAGCAGGATCAGCCAGGTGTTTATATTACACTGACTTCTTTACCTGGCGGTGTGAAAGATCTTAAGAGAGTTAGGTTCAGGTATGTTAATTCATCTTGATATTAATCCTTTAGTTTGTTTATGTGAAAGTGAGTCATGGCATCACAGAAGAAATTATTTAGGACAAGTGGGATACACTCACTAATACGAGAAAAACAAATGTTATGGAAGGAAAACAAAATTTCACTCCCTTATGTTCCTGAAACTTCTACAGTTTTTGGAGTCTGTGTCTATCTGCACAGTCAACAGGCTTGACATGACTTGGCACTTTTTTTTTCCCCACTAGGGATTTCCTTCTTGCATCTACCTGCTACATGCTTGACCTACATTGGCACTTGGGAAAAAAGAGAGAAGATTTTTCCTGATTGCATCAACATAAGCCTTGATTGTAGCATAGAGTCGACTAGCATTTAAAAGAGTATCCTAGTTTCTAGCGATGGATCATGTCATTATTTCTTGTTAACTTAATTTCGAAGGAATAAAAAAGACCTCCCTGTATATTATATGTTAATCATGTCAGTATATCACTGTGCCCCTGGGTAGTCGGTCTAATCTACTGCTTTTTGCATCTAATGATCTAAGATTCTAAACTAATATTCATTTTCTAAACTTGCATTCTCACTGAGTTCCTGCAACTTGTGATTCTAGAGATTGCTCAGGTTCAAACCTTTTCTACTATAAAAATTACTGATATCAAACAACAGATTTGATGTTAATTCCCCCCAACAAATGCGACATGCAACACTTTCTAAATGTTTGCTGCATTTATACCAAACACTCCCTTAGATTTACATATTTTTTGTGTCACAATATTCGGGAAGTTTTACCTTGATCAAGTATTGAATTCTCTTATGCTTATGGAATCTACCAACTTATAAGCTTCTGTATACTTTCATGGCTGACTCCTAGTATTTTCAAATTTCAACTTCTCAGCCGTAAGAGGTTCAGTGAAACCCAAGCAGCGCAATGGTGGGCCGAGAACAGAGCCAGGGTTCATGAGCAGTACGATGTCCGAGTAGTCGACAACAGATCTGCTGCTGGGGTTGGAAATGAATAGACAACTGATCTTTCAATCCATAGTGATTGAAATATTCTTTTAACTAATTTTCTTTCTTTTTTGAACTAGTTTTTTTTTAGCCGCAATCATGAGTGATCCCTCACTAATCAAGTTTATTGTAAATGTGGGTTTATTTATTTAGCCCTTGAAGAAAAAAAGATCGATGGGCTGTGGTATAAACGAATGTGAGTTGGGGTTCTAGATGTTTTTTTTCCCTTCTTCTTTCTCTTCCCTTCTCTTCTATGAGAAATGTATATTATTAGTGTAGCCAAGCTGGTTAATATTCTTCCTTGTAAATTCATGAATGAATATGTTTCCCTCCTCCGCCTCATTTTTTGTTCTGTCAATATTTCGTTCTTGTCTCTCTGACTTTTTGATAATTCAAATTCAAAATTTAGCATGTTACCCTTCTGAAAGTTTTAGTTTGCATGTGTACCGAACTTAAAAAAAAAATTTGCATCATAATCTTTGGCCAAGCATTCATTATGAATCGA